TAAAATGAGTAGTTCACTTCAACATTTAAAAATGATTTGAACTAAACTCACTTTGATTATCAAGATATTGTAAAATAGTAATGATAATAAAAAGAGAGTGTTCTTTCAATTGATTAGTGCAGGACACACTTAGAAAGTCTCTGGATGAGCTTAATTTGTGTTTCTGGACTCAAATCAATGAAATAACAGTTCCTGTCCCAGGAAGGCCCTCAGGGTCAGGTTTTTGACCTGAGGCTTAGTTCACTACAGTCCCCCCTTTGGAAATCATCGCCTGTCCATGGGGATGAATTCCAACATGAACTTACGCCTCGGAATGTCAATGAGCTTGATGTAATCCAGCAAGAGGAAAACAAAAGTCAAAGGAGGTAATCCCACAACGGTTTAGGTAATTCCATAATGTTGTTGGTAATTCCATAATGTTGTTGGTAATTCCATTGTAGCAATGCTTTAACCCCTTGGAAACAAAGTCTGTAATCCATTGGAAAAAGTCATATAATCCACAACGATAAATCCACAACGAATGGAGGTGTTGATTGATCAGCATACAGAGGGGTTCTCTTGATTGAACTGAAGATGCGGCCACTGGATGAAGATTGGAGACCAACGTCAGGATTGCAGGTCTCCTCCAGCGAAGGTCGTCACTGGGTGACGTCCAGTCGGTGCCGTCCAGTCGGTGCCGTTCTGGTTCAATGTGTCATGCAATTATGTGGTTTAAGGTGGGCTTATGAAGGGGATTTTACATAAGGCCTTAAACTATATGCACCTGGTGTGTAAGCTATTATGATTGGGAACAGCTATAGCTACCAGTTAAGGGGTGGAACATGCTGAAAAGGGTAGTTATAGGGGTCTATACCTATAAAAGGGTGTTCCAACTATACCACCATCGCTAACTTTGTCTATGTTAGACTTACATGGCCACTATAGTTGGTTTACTTGTCTGTTGCCTTTTAGACGAACGACTTGAGATTGGGTGTTTGGTTTCCCCATAAATGTTTTTGGAGTCTATGGCGAGACTCATCAAAAAGAATTAGCTATCCCCCCGAATAGAATTGTTCGAGTAGGTTCGGCTTAAGCGTTGTGAGACCAATGTAGATTATGGTACTTAAGGTAGCATTAATCTACATTGACTCCGCAAAGATTAGGTTTTAACGAGTGAACTGCATGTTGGCATAGTTAAAAGCCTTTACAGCCTCCAACTAAAATACATACAAAACTCATTCTTACCTCAGAAACAATACCAAAACCAATTAAACAACGTTTCAACATCGACAAGAGTAGTGACTAAGCAACCAGTAAAACAACGTTTCAACATTGACAAAAGTAGTGATTAAGCAACTAGAAAATGACGTTTCGGTGCGTCACTCACTCTGAATGTCAGATTTGATCACGTTATCGCGTCTGGTAACATTACCCTAACTGGCGTCACCCCCCTTCGGTCATGGGGGACCGCGAACACGGGTGAGGACGTCGCTCCATGAGCTAAAGTTAGGTTGTCCTTGAGTAGTTTTAACTGTTTGCGCAGCTGAAAGAGGACTTTAAGGTCTGGATTGGAATCCAGTTCGCCTATCGATGGAGTGTATTTGTCTGGGTCAGTCAGATACAGTATCATCGAGTTAATCGCAGGATCCAACTTCTGAAGTTGGATGATGTCTGGGTCAGTTGAAAATGACTTTTCATATTTTAAAAGAACTTGGCGAAGTTTGTCCCTTACTTCATCAGCTGTCAGAGCGTCGGCTTGGGCGACCACCTGTTCAATCTGTGATGAGACTGATAAGGGTTCTTGCTCTTTGGGGAGCTCCAACGAATCCCTTTCTGAGTCGTCGGACCTGTCTATGGGTAAGACACCATAGGTTTGAGGTCCTTGGTCGACGTCATCGGAAGAGACAGAGTAGATGTTTTAAGAACAGACAGAAATATGTTTTGAAGAAACAGAGACATTTAGGAGCCAGTCTCCTTCTATCTATCTGAGAGAGTTTAACATGACATTTCGTTCCGATAAACATGTTTTTGACCGTTCCTTGAC